AGAGAGACAGAGAGAGAGAGAGAGAGAGAGAGAGAGAGAGAGAGTGTGAGTGAGAGGAGGAGTAGGAAGGAGAGCGACGTGTACCCGCGTTCTTTTATTCCGCGTTGCTTTCGAATCGTACGGTGGCCCGCGGGTTCGGGTTCTCGCGCGCGCGCGTTTCTTTTAATATGTTATCGCGCTAAGCCGATTTTCGGTGTTGAAAAATCCCCGCCGCGACACAACGGCCCGGCGGCGGCGGTCCGGATTCGGTTGACGCGCGCGGACGGCCCGCGAAAAACATTGTTCGCGACCGGCGGACGGGAAGTAACGCGGCCCGAATCGCCGGGCGGACGACGGGCTCGCGACAGTGTGGTGGTATTTTAACGCGACGTCTGACGGCGTTCGACAACGGGTCGCGGACAACGCGACGTCGGTTTTATTGGTGCGCGAGGGGGACGCGCGTTGGGCTGCGCGTAAAAAAAAAAAAGAAAAAAAAAAAAACGGACGAAAGGAAAAATCCGCCGAGCGCGAAAAACAGGCGTCGGTTTTTCCGCCCGACGTTCGGCGCGCTCAAAGTAAATACAAATTTTCGAAAACGACCTCTCGATGGCCGTCGAAGCTGGACATTCAACAGACCCATACAGCACAATACAAATTGAAACCGTCGGGACAAACTGTGGATAATCGGCACCTACGCTGTATTTATTGAACAAATCGTATAGTGTGTGCGCGAGTGTACGGTTTTTTTTTTTTTTTCCTTTGTTCATATTATATTATTGTGCGTGGAGTACCGAGGAGTTTAAAAATCCGAATTTAATTTGATATTCTCGCGGAAAAAACTCCGCGAGGGAATGCTCTCATCATGTTCAAAAAAAAACAAAAAAAAACCAATCTTAAAACTCTGGGTTCAAACGTTTTCACTGTACTATGACAGTATCTATTTCAACGTTACCGAGTCTGAATTATTCGTTAAATTGCCGGGCGAACGGCGAACGCGAAGGATCGAACCCCACCCGAAATCTAAACGACCCTTCGACTTGTATTTGAATTTAAAAATTTAAAAAAAATCGAATTACACTTCACAGCCGTATACAATAATGGTCAAACACGATAAATATTTTTCGCGAACCTGCCCTCTCCCCTATAATTTGTTCTCGCGTACGCCCCTGTACCCCGTCTTGCACACGTGCATGTAAATACGCACCTGGTTTCCGGACCAGCGGTGTAAACCGAACTGCACATCACGCACACTGCAGACGTAAAACGAATCGGACTATAATTCCGAGAGCGAATAAAAGAGTACAGCTCAAGTATAAGTATACGCGTACTATAGGAGCAAATAAATTAGCCGTATACAGACGGAAATCTACCGCGTTTAGTTTTACTGCACGTCTTCATCCGGTCGCGAACGAGTTGACTTGTTAGCAGCGATAGGTACGCCGTTTAAAACGGTTTAAACATTTATGGACTTACGAGTATACGAGTACGCCGCGCGACACATGAATTATTCATTTCGGCGCTAGGAACCGTTTTTATAAATTTTTCTTTACTGCCGCGGAGTCGTACTAAAACTTTCTCGATGGTAATACGTATTTGAATATAATCAATATACAATAAGCCCGGATTAAGACATTTGGATGTCCGGACGTTTCAACGGGAGTCTCGTTGAAAAAACTAATAACGTCGAACAATTAAAAATGTTTACAAATCAATGTATGTTTTAACGAAAGAAAAATAATCAATTGCGTAGACATCGTATAAATCGTAATTCAATAGCCGCTGGCATTATCTATAACAAAGTTACAAATGCGAATAAGTCATCGAAAAACTATTCGAATGTCGAAGAACAAATACAACTATAGCTCTGTAGCTAAACGCGTACACGATAATATAAAGAACATGCCGTGTCGAAAAACTGAGACCCCGAGAGTCCGGTGGCCCGGGGGTCACGGCCCTCTCTGGACCCACTCTTAATCCGGGCTTGAGTGTGCCACTGTTTTAGGAGGGAAGTTGTCGGGGGTGGGGGGGGTATACGGAATAATATTGATACATTTAATCACGATAATTGCTAACCGGATACGGTTCTGAGCAGAGCGGTATTAGCCGTATTTGTTCGCTCGTTGTCGGTGTAGATAAAATAACACAGAAATCGACAAAAACTACAAGCGAACTCGATAAACGAGCTCCCCGACGCAACGCACCCGACTGGATCGAAAAAGCTGTACAAGAAAGTTGTCGTAAAGTTTCCGATTGCGGCGAGATTTTCGGTAGAAAAGTAGTTTGCAGTGACGTAAATATTAAAAAAAAAAACAACAAGAAAACCCCATCGTAGTAAAACCGATACGCTATCTGCAGCGACGCGATCATAATTACATCGATTATTTCGATACAACGCAGTCGCGTTGATATTTCTCAGAAATAATAACGTTGTTCGCTCCGGAAATTATAGAAGGCTTTTGAAAAAAAAAAAAAAAAAAAACAACTCCGTTTTTGTACTTTTACATGCCCGTCGGAAAAAAAACCGACGGTTTTCCGTCACCCGTATTGGAATTCCTCGTATGAAAAAACCCGACGCCGCCCGGCGAAATTTTTAATTTTCTCTTCGACGCTATACTTCTGTGCTGTTACAATAATAAAGTCCACGCGTGTTCGTCAAAAGCGGCCAAAGGAATATCGTTGAGTGTTGTAAAACTCGATTTTTTTTTCTTTCTTCTGTCCCTTTACTCCTCGATATTATATTGTTACTGACGCATTATTAGGCGTTTTGCAGTTTCGAACAAACAAACAAGAAAAAAAAAAATCTTTCGGCGAAACGAAATTAACTCGCCCGAGCGCGCGGCGGTTATTATTATCATTATTTTTTTTTTTTTATCCCCTGCAGAATACCTATACATCATAAAGGCCGGTAAAAAAAATAAAATAAAATAAAAAGGCACGCGCCTCCGAGAGCACGAGTCAAATACGTATAATAAAACGGGGAAAAAAAAAAAAAAACAACAAAATGTATCTAGCAAAGGGTCTGCGTATTATAATACCGAATTGCGTAACACGCGTCATTTTTATAGCGCGTTTTTTCGCGGTATTAAAAAAAAAAACGGTTTTTTTCACTTATTTTCCCCAAAAAAAAAAAAAATCTCCCCCCCCCCCCCCGAAAATTATTATTGCTATTATTAAACATTCTCTTCCCTTCTTTTTACACGCATTATTATTATTATTGTTATATACGCGCACAATGACGAATCGAACACAATACAACACGCAATATTATATCCATTATAATGGATTTTTTTTTCCGCCGTGCACCACACACGCACACGTATACACTGTAACCGGTTTCGCACACACGTCGCATCCCATGGGAACTCGTTTTTTTCCCCAATTTTTACCCGTACCCCACCCCCATCCCGTCCTTATAGGTCCTCGCTCCCGCTCCGCCTCCCCCGGCCCTATAGGCCCGGAGCACCAGCTCACCGTCCCGTCCCCCCCGACCGGACACGTTTCCGTTGATTTTATGTACGGCCGAGTCGGCTGCAGCGACGGCGTATTCAAATTTTGTATACCGCGGACCCGATTCGCATTGTGCGCCGCACAAGTATAATACCTATACACAAACACCGGCGTTTTTTTTTTTTCTTTTTCTCCTCTTTTTTCTTTTTTTTTTGTGTTTTTCCCCCCCCGGTCGTGTCTCTCGCAACAGGTATGAATATACTATGAGGTCGCGGACGCGCGCCCGGCTAACAAACATCATCGCAACGGACGCGATTTCTATATTACAACACACGCATTATATTATAAAAAGACGACACCCTCCTTTAACGCGAACGAGGAAGGGACCGGGGGGAAAAAAAAAAACACCGCGCGAAATACACTTTTTGGGGACGAAAACCGTTTTTTTTTTTTTCTCCGTTTCCCCGAAAAGCATAAAAATCCCCCGTACCATAATGTGCACAAGACAAATCTTCGTTCCCTGCAGGTTGACTCTTAACGGTTTTTTTTTCCTCCGCTTTTTTTCGCGTCGCCGCCGGATAACGGCTTCTCGCGCGCAACACCCGTCGTCATCGCGTCGTGCCGCGTTTCTTTATGAATATTTAAAAACTCCGTCTACAAACGTGATATTTGCCAGCGGCGTGCGCTGGCATTGTTTTTCACCGCGGGCCAGTCCATCGGCGACAAAGCCACTTTGTGCTTTTGCATTGGTTTTAATTGTAACACGAATAACACAAATCGAGCGATTGCAGTTTTAAACGCGTATTCACTATCGCGTCGAAACAACAAATTTAGCCTTTGGCGTCCCTTGTGCAGATGACGGATAGGCGTGTTCGCGGTAGGTATTTCTTCGGGGGTTTATCATGAACACGCCAATATTCACCTGATAATCGTCTGCGTAGCGTCAAATGTTGCGCAACGTCACCGTACCGTCGGCCGGCTTACGCCCGTCGAGCGTGCACGTCGACCGTTTGAACATCGAAATTCGCGAAATTGCCTACATCGCGGAATCGGCCAAAAGCAATACGCGCCGAACGTTTGAACCGAACGCGGGATTTCACTGCGGGCTCTGATCGTACGCCACCGGCACACGCGCATAATGCGTCTCGCGACGACATCGCCGCGGGTTTTCGCCACCCGTGTTTCACCCATGCCCCGTTTGTTTTATTTTTCGTGGCGGTTTTTTTTTTTCGTTCTCTATGCGCATACGCGCACTCGCGCAATGTTAAACGACTATTTTTTTCTTTCTTTCTCCCCCCTCCCCCCCGACGTTCCGATAATATTGACGTTAACTAGTAGACCTGAGGCGGAGGGAAAACAAAACAAAAAAAAAAAAATCATAAAAAAACATCAAACAATCTGTTGCGCGTGGGCACTGCTACACGGCAGCGCCGCGCTGTACGCGTTTTGGACGATCGTCGATCTCGCGCGATTTTTCCTCCGTTCGCGCGATCAACAAGTCCCGCGTTGTTGTGGCCGACGCACGTCGCGCGGCGGAACCTCGCCGGCCGCACCTCGGAAGTTTCCCGCGCTTCGAATTTTCCCTTCGGTCCCGACCGTTCAGCATCGGGCGCAATTCCCCCGGTAACTCGAAGTTTCGACGTGTCGAATAGTTTTTTTTTTTTTTTCGGTCCCTCGAGACTGCGGGACACCGCAGAGGTTCCGCTGTGAGATTATTCCATTAGCGTGTTTGTACGGGCGCGCGCGCGCGCGCTCGCGGGAAATAATATTATAGTACAACGCGCGTCATAAAAAAAAAAAAATAATTATAATAATACAATAATTATAATAAACGTGCTGTATTAATAATTTCCAAGTGTACCGCGGTAATTTAATTAGGGAACGCGTGTGCGGGCTTTATTACCATCCGCCGGATGGACAAGTAGGCGTACGTATGATTTATGTGCGATTTTCTTTCGTTTTCGCGTCGGTGTATTGTTGACGACGCGTCTTGGTAAAATCGCGTGGAAACTTAACCGGAGAGTCTCCCTCCTTGTTTATTGACTGTATAATATCAAAATATCTTATCTTCGCTGTAAAATTATATATAACAATTTATCGTTCCGAAAACCGATTCGATTTTTTTTTTTTTCCGTTTTCGCCCTAACCTTGGTATAATAATATCATGGAATTTTTTCGCGATCTGCGAGAACGAATTTTATCCGCGCAAAACCAAACTAGAGCTGTAAAAAAAAAAAAAAAAAATCGAAAAACGACGAGCAGCTAAACAATCACCGGAATGGCTTGAAAACCGTACCGCGTCTCTGTGATTATTTTTCACCGACTTACAAAACGAAATCGAAAATGATAAACAATCGTTATTTCCGTAAAAAACTTAATCGTTTACCCTACACGGTATTTATCGGTTATTCGCAGTTATTTAGAAACACCAACACATACTTAACGTCCTCAACAAACAACGAAAAACCTCTCGCGTAGTTTCTCGATCGGAGCACGGTTTCGGGGAGAAAAAAAAATGTACCGTAAAAAAAGTTTTTTTTTTTTTTTTTTTTTTTTATTTTCACCGCTCGAATCTAATAGACAACCGAAATTTACGATTTATCCGAGATTATAGCCGATCGTTACATTCTATATTATCCATTATTTAAATACAAATACCGGTCGACGTCTGTTTTGATGCGTTTACTGCACGAACACATTCGCACAGCGAATTAAGTAGAATACGTCCGAAATAATAACGACCGTTCGATTAAAACGCGTCCGGACGCGAGGAGTCTAATTTACTCTCTCGCGCCCAGTATTAGTCGGGTTCGTTTTTTTCCTTCTTCTTTTTTTTTTTTTTTTTATGACGAACATTAATTTTCACGCGGTAGCCATTTGTTTTCCGGACTGTGCGGCGTGCACCCTTCGCGCGACGAGGAGACTTATTTTTAGCGAGAAAAAAAATATATCCGAAATATAAATGGGGGGAATGCAAATGAACGGCTTTAAGTATATTTATATATATAACTACTTTTTTTTTTCGTTCAACCCCCGCAACTTCTTTTTTACCGTCTCCGCACAATAATAATATTCTCGTCTTCCAACTATACAAGAATGTATATATATATACACACACACACACACACACACACACACACACACACAGAGGGTGAGAGAGCGAGTGAGAGAGAGAGGGGGTGTCTTTCGTTACTTCGCCATCGCCGTCGATCGACCATCTGGTTTTCACCCTTCGTCGTCGAGGGCTAAAAATTCGTCAGCGTAAAAACGCACGTTGCTCGCCAACAGTTCGCATTTCTTTTTCTTTTTTTTACGCCGAAATACCGACGGAGAAAAAAAAAAAAACTACGTGTAAATATAAACGTGTGAAACACGTTCCGGCTGTCCGTGCGCGCCGACACCGCCGACTACTACTACTATTATAGGTGTTTAAAAAAAAAAAAAATGTATGTATAAAAAAAACACGTATAATAACACAATATAATATACTTACACCGAAATAATAATGAACCTACCCTTCGTATATAAATTGTATTCGTATAGAAAAAAAAAAAAACGCACAGACTATTATTATTATGTTCTCCGATGGTCAACACACACACACACACACACACCGATCCCCGAGGTTTCCGCGTGACACTCATTGTTGATTATCGGACACACTCGTCGGCTCGATATATATATAATATACACGATAATGTTATATGTATACACTATTTTTAGCGGTTCTTTTTTTCTTTTTTTATCGTTATTATTATTATTATTATTATTCACTTCTATTACGAAAATCGTCGAGAAAAAAAAAAAATCTTAAAAAAAAATAACTCGAAAATATCATTTTTCCGCTCGAATCGCGGCCTCGCGCGATCGTTACGCATATAAAATTGCTATAATATAAAGGTAGGTGTAATTATTATGATATAACGTATATTACATACGCTATGCTATCGCGTCGGTCGGATTTTCATCAAAATGAATAAACGTGTAAGACAGTACCGTACAATGTAATATCGGCGTGTCGTTGTTTTTTTTTTCTTTTTTTTTTCATAATTCGCGCGAAAATTCAATCCTGAAAAAAAATCGTCCGTGATAATATGCGCCGGGCTCTTGACACAGCGTCGTCGAATCGTCGTTGTAGACTCTGAACCGTCCGAAGACCTTAACGACGGAACTCGCGCGAACGTAACGGAAAATTGAATTTTCGGTTTAAATATTTAAGAGAAGAGCGTCACGCCCGCGTCTACGCCGTCTCAGTCCGACAACCATGGGTATAACATGCAAAAACAACGATTACGCACAATAAGGAAAACCACCTTGATTTTGATTTCGGAATAACAGTACGTATTGTGACATTCATAGTGACCAAATATATTTCCGAAGGGAAAGTCACGGGGTTCGCCGTGTTATTATTCAAAATGTGCACAGCCCGATACGAAAGACGCGAAAATCTGTTGTTCACTCCAAAATCAAAATCGAGCCGGTTTCACTGAAAAAAATTATCTTCTATTTTTTAAAAACAAAAAAAAAAAATAAAACTTTAATCCGAACGAAAAGTCGTCGATTATCTGCAGTCGTATACGAATAACGTTGGTGTTTGTATCGTTTTCCGCGAAACCGCGCAAATCGTTTTTTTTTTTTTTTTTTTTTTTNAAATATATTTCCGAAGGGAAAGTCACGGGGTTCGCCGTGTTATTATTCAAAATGTGCACAGCCCGATACGAAAGACGCGAAAATCTGTTGTTCGCGGCGCGTACGCCCGGACGTCCGAAAACCGCGCGGTCCGGTACGCGCGAAACGTGTACCGCGTACACCGCCGACGACATCGCGAGCGCACGCTATCATTATCCCGCGATAGTAAATATTAACGAATTATACAAAAAAAAAAACATAAAAAAATCAACGCACCGTTCAAATAATTACAATAATTAAAATAGGCACCGCGCGTTCGGTGCAGTCCGTCGAACGAAAACAAAATCGCGTGTTGCATTATTGTTAAAACGCCGCGAGCGAATAATATTATTCGAATGTGTATGCGTGTTTGTGCGTGTTTGTGTGTGTGTGTGTATACCTGTGTATAGATATATAAAAAATATTTCACGTGCGCGCGCGCGCACACACACACACACACAACACAGAGTCATTGTACAATAAATCATAATACGACGATATATTTTATCGAACGAACCGTCGTTCGCGACGACGGGGGAGGGGGGGAAACGGAGAGGAGGGAATCGCAATATAATATTTTAACAATATAATCGACGAGTGTACATTATGCGTACTATAAAATAATTGTATAAACAAACACAATATCATACGACGCGGGAAATAAAAAAAAAAAATAACAAATTGTAAAAAAAAAAAAAAAAAAACTATATAGATCATTGATCGCGCGACCCCTTTAACCATTGATTCCGGATATTGTTTCGATAATCGGGAGCGCGCGCGAGCTCGAGGACTCGTTGAGTTTTATTACGGTATCGGTTTTTTTTTTTTTTTTTTTTTACAGAAGGGCAAAGAAGCGAGGCGAGTGACTATATTATTTTTATCGTATAAATAATATATAAAAAAAAAAAATACGCGGGCGAAATGCGGTTAACAGGAAAAAAAAGCAAAAACAAAAACTTAAAAAAAAAAAATGAAATAAAAACACTGGTCGTACGCGCGCGTACAACACGAGCGGCGAAAAAAAAAAAAAAAACTATATATATAAAAAATGTGTCATTCATTAAATTACCCCTCGAACTGCGGCGCGCAAGTGAGTCGTTGTAGTAGGTACTTTGGAAACATTTTTTTTTTTTTTTTTTCCGTTGTTTATAGGGAAAAAAAATATATTTTTTCCTTCTGGTTTTTTTTTTAATTTTTTTTTTTTTTTTTATTATTACATTTTTATACGCGCAGAAGAACAAACTATTAAATCGTTTACTCGACTTTTTATATCTTTTTTTCCACGGTTTTCTTTTCTTTTTTTTTTTTTTCCACAACAGACACGCGACTTACACCCTACTTTGCGGACGCCGCGCGATTCGACGCCCGCCGCGCACAAAACACACACACACGCGCACACACACACACACGCACACACACACACACACACACACACACACACATCGTGTTTGCGTTATTGTTATCGCGAGCAGTGCGCCGCGGAGGAAGAAAATGAAAAAAAAAAAATTAAAAAAACCGCCTTTCCCCCCTCCCCACCCCCCTCCATCCCTACACACGCGCGCGCGCGCGCCGCGTCCGCGTCCGTGGCTCTCCGCCCGACGGCCGTGCGCGTCGAAACACGCGCATTTCCACCGGTTTCCGACGATCATTCCGCTACAACAACAATAATTATAACGATTACGGTTGCAATATCAACGCAATTACCGACGGCCGACCGCGCACCCGGAACGCGCGCACTGCGCGGGCCGTGTGCGAGGCGCGCGACGACGCGATTTACACGAACACCGTAATTCGGCGCGTATTTTCGTTTTGGTTTTTTTTTTTTTTTTTTATTACGTACTCTCGACTTGCACCTGAATATTGTTATAGCGCAGTCGAACAACAAGCCAACGCGGGATCGTGCATACATTATTGTCGTATTATACGTGTTACGGTTTTTTTTTTCATCATCTTACGCACGTATACACCGTCGCGCACCGCGCACGGACACGCGCAGTAACGTCCTTTGCCTCGTTAATTATTATTTAAATTAAAAAAAAACATCCACGTACGTGTATATTGTATTGCGGTTATTACAATTTTTTTTTTTATTACGTACTCCCGTCTTGCACCTGAATATTGTTATAGCGCAGTCGTACAACACGCCAACGCGGGATCGTGCATACATTATTGTCGTATTATACGTGTTACGGTTTTTTTTTTCGTTTTTCGTTTTTCGTCGATTTCGGCGGGAGTTTCCGCCGAAACGAGAATGTGCGACGGCGCACGTCGCGTTTGCCATTTCCGCGGAAACGAGCGCCCGCGCACGCATGCCGGCAGTTCGGTCATCGAGTGTTCGGTTTTACGCGGCGGCTTTCGAAAACTAATGAAATTATACAGGTTAGTTTCAATAACGGCCGACACCGACGTGGAACGCCGTCAACGGGTCGGCAGTGAAACGGCCGCTCGGAATCCAAAGCGGAACGTTCTGTTGTTCGCCTCTCATCCGATACCTTACGGCTCGCGTACCTGACGTGCACGCTGTCGATGGAACAATTGATTTGGATTTCGGTGCAAGTTGCGCGAAACTCGCGGCGCGTCTATGTTCCGGGACAATTTCCGCCCGAAATTGACCCGATCGGCTGGCGGTCCTCGAGACACGGAGCACACGATACGTGTGATATTTTTAAGGAGAGCAGGGGATCATATACGTACGGGCGACGATAATGCCGGGAAAGAACGGTGGGAAAAACGACAGGAACACGGTTTGTAAGGTACCGACCGATATGGCGGCGGTGGATATTGAGTCGCGTCCAGACCGTGAGCAAACAAGCTAACAGGTTCCACGGCGACAAACTTTGTACAACGTTCCTTGGAAAATCATCCGATTCGACGGCGTTTTCGTGATCCAAGTGGGCGACACGAATGCGTTTCCACACCATCGGTGCCGGAAAAGATCAATAAGAATCGAGGGCACGTTGTCGGCGACGATATTTTCGGTTTTTTTTTTCAACAAAAACGATTCGGGCCGTTATCAATTATTGTTATTATCGGTAAGGGTCGCCCATCAACTGTCGCCCGTCGGCCTAACGTCTCGCACGCACATATTTAGTAATCGCTTTGAGTCCTGAGTAATGGATCAATTAGTTAGCTCTATACCGTTGTATTTTTTTTTTTTTTTTTTTACGTAAGGTCCCGCTCGTGGCATTTTACAAATCGTTAACATTTACAATCCAAAAGTCTTAACAATTCGTAACAATAAATTTATTCGGTTTTAATTTTCCAATAAAGAGGACCGGGGCAACAATATTCTCCTGCCTCGTAAAGATGTCCGATTTTGATTTGATTTGATTTTCCATTGAAACGAAGGCAACTATTTCTATAGCGCCGCTTGGGACTATATTCAAAATGTATAATTTTACCGTTTGGAAATATAATTTTCAAAATCAAATTGACGCGTCTGATGCGTCTTGTGTTCCTCTTTCCACAAAAAAAAATAAATAAATGATTGAAATCGTATCGATTCACACGGCGGGCGAGAGTTAATATTGTCGGGCGAAAAAAACGAACGCGCGCGCCGTCTTCTTAATGTAAATATTAATAGAAAAAAATGTTTAAAAAATACCAGAGGAAAAGATTATAGTATACTATAGTACTAATAATTTAACATGTACCGCGGCAAACCACACCGGAGAGTATCGTTAATGAGCGAAATTAAGAATTCCGAAATACGAAAATAAAAAAATAAAAAAATTGCAATTTTACGTACACCGTTAGCGCGGCCATTTTCTCTATCGATATTACCCCGAAAAAACAGAATAATTTTTTTTGTACCGTCGGACCGAGAAACCGGCGAAGATTTCGGCGCGTCAACAATGTAACTGCGCTCACCGCCGCAGGGACGGGGCGACGACGACGACGTCGCCCCGGCACAATAAACGCGGACTCGAACCGTAAAACGTTGTACACCTTTATAATAATACGGCGGTCGCCATAATGGGGTTTTTTTCTCAAATTTTCGTATAAAAAAAAAAATAAATATCTAGACAGACGGCGGCGGCGGCGGCTACGATAATAATACTATACCGAAAACACATAATGTCTTTATGTACTGATATATTGGTTACCTCCCGCGGGCTGCGACAACATCAATATAATAATATGTATAATAACGGTCGATATAGTCGCTTTCCGGAACCGTCAAAACGGTCTTTGTAGGTATATATTTGTATGCGGGGTGGTCGACATACGCGACGCTATTCTAATAGAAACGGAATGCGAGAAACGTGTGCGTAACGTGTACTCGGGTATACAGCGGCGTGACCGCCATCGCTATACCTTAGTTTAAAAAAAATATACTCCGGTGCCCAGGTATCGTGCGCATACTTTTGTGTTTCGAAAAATTACAACGGTCGCTTGAAACGGACGACCGTTGAATCGATCGCGCGTCACCGTCGGTTATAAATCGAATTCGGACGTGCGAATTATCGTTGGTAATCGACCGGTTTTTACCGTAATGCGAGTGCGTTTCCGCGCGTTAGTATATCTGATAAGTAGTAATGATATTGTTGCGCAGATTTACACACCGATGAATTGATATTATTTTCGCGGTCATGTCAATGTCCCGCGCGTGTTAACAGTACCGCGGGGACGGATGAATTTTAAGGCGGAAAGTTTCCGTTCCGGATAAAGTCTCCGGGCGTTTGTCAAAAAAAACTGTACCGATCCGTTGAATATTTGAAAAAAAAAACATGACATTTATTGCGTGTTAACAATTTGCACTTTTGAGTGGTATAGTTGTTTAGATAGTGGTTTAGTAGGCGGTGGTTAACGGATAGAATTTCCCTATTGCGCAGAAACATTTATTTCATCTACCCGGTAGTAATACAATTTTACCATTTTTTTTTTTTTTTCGAACACTGTTTTTAGGCCCGTAATAACGAACCGTTTGACGTAACCATTTTAGTCGTACTCTTTACGAGCTTTTTGAACAATATATTGAATAAAACCGTATTTTTTGTTTTTTAGCTCACAAAAATCGATAAATATGATATGCAATACAAACGTGACGAATAAATAACTACAGCCAAGCAATTCGAAATAGATATAGGTAACGAGAAAAGTCGTTTAAATAAACTTCGGGCGGGGGGGACGTGGAAGACGAAACGGTCTCAACATGCGGGCAACTCGCGGACGACTCGGCACCTGGGTGTGGTGGTGGTCATGCCTATAACCAAAATATTGACGCGCCCGGACTTGAACGGATAATTATTAACGTATCGACGTTCGGACTGTGTACGGCCGAAAAATTAAACGGCTCGCGGTGATGCGTACGAGAAAAAAATAAAAATAAAGTCGAAACGAACAATAACGGCACGCAAAACGACGTGCACGACTCCGGGGATCGCCGCGAGCTGCGGCCGATAGTCTATGGTGGTTACACAAATAATTGTTCTCTCCGTTGGTCTTTTTGTTTGTTTTTTTTTTCCTCTCAATCTCAAGTTCGTTAATTATAAATACACGAATAAACGCCGAATAAACGCTTCAGCGGGTCTTTAGCGGCGTTTTTCCGCGTCCGTATTCCGGCCGCAGAGACATGTCTATTGTACTTACATTATTGATATTATTTTGTTTACGCGGGACGGGACGACGGAGGTATTGGGATATTATTCGGTATACCTACACTGAGATGACCATACGTCCTGTTTGTTATGTCGAAGCCGATTATTTCGTATTAATTCTTATTTTATTCAATTAGATGTAAATATTTTATAAAAAAAAAAAAAAATAATAATAATAATTTGTTGACGAAATTGTTCGTTATAGGTTATGACAGCGATTGCGATTGTATTTACGAAAAATAATAGCCACAAGAATCGGTACCTGTCTACGACAGTACATCTAAGATATACCGAAACAGTTGACATGTTGTAGGCGTAATCATGAAAAATTAACGGAAAAAACCCCAAAATAATTAATAAATATTGCATTGAATTTTTTATAGATTTTTTTTTTTTTTTTTTTGTATATGGTCGCCCTACACCCAGTGTACCCGTACCGTTAGTAAGAAAAACCAAATGCGTAAACTCCGTCTCGGCCGAATCGACAAATAGTATTTTACAGGTACAAGATATATTTTTACAAATTATATAAAAGATCGGCGGCCGCTGTGCGACACGTGCATTCGTTGACTCTGTCCCGCGAACGCACGGCATCGCAAACATCCATAGGTATCTGTGTACGCAGGCACTCGGCCAGAACCGATTCGGCGCCGTTAGTATTGGTTCGGTATAAAAGTTAAATGACCTATATAATGTTGTATCGAACCCTAAGGGCCGGGGCGTTTTCCGCGTTTGTACGAGCGGTGTTTTGTCCCCGCGATTTTAATCTTTCGTTGATAAAACGACATATTGCTATAAAACAACGCGCGAAACACTGTGGCTGCCGGACCGCGGTTATCGTGAGAAGTCGAAAAATGCTTGATTTTCGCTTTCACCGCTTGGTAAAAATTCGGTTATTCGCCGTGCGCTTTGCCGTGTCTTCTGTGTGCAGCTGTACAAAACCCGACGGGTCAACGATGAAACGCGGCGAGGAATTAATGGAAAAATAACAGGGTACCCGCGTTTCGGTAAAATGCAATAGTGTACTATTATCCCGAGACAATACACAATCGCATTGTACAATCGAATCGAATATTTATTGAGCGGCATAGACCGTGAAACAGATGCGTATTAATTCGAAAAAATGTAAATTCAGCATTCGAATAATTGTCAATTTTTTTTTACACTTTATAGTTTGGACAGGACAATGCAAACATTTAAACAACGGGACTAAACCTAAGTACCGGCGCAGACGGATCAAATCGCGTTGTATCTTTTGATGGTTCGAATCGCGCGTACACGCGCGCGTATCGATACACTCTAATAGTAAAATCGCAAAAATGCCGGTTTCGCCGAACGCAAATTCGTTACATCGGAGTGTCCCGTAAGCCGGAATCGACTTAAACGAACGTGCAATCTCCCGTTCAGTATGCGAATCGCCGCGTCGGCGAATCCTGATACACGAAAACCGCTAACATTATCAACAAAATTTGTAACGACCGGCGAACAAAATGTTATGATTGACAAACGAATTTCCCGTCGCTTATTGAAAATACTTGTTCTCGTCGCGTATAGTATTAATGAAATAATAATAATTGTTATTGTTTCGAAACACTTGTTGCGGCCGACGTGTCGTTAACGGACTTCGGCGTGGACACCGAGACATTTCATACTTGAAACACTGAATTGGATTATATTAAGCGGCGTTATTCGATAATTGCACCCTGTATACCTGTATGTGACCTGTTCGTCGTATCAGATCAGTTTAGGGCATTTGAGAATTCGCGGAAACAGCCGAGTTCGTAGAATCGCATAAAATATATTTTTCGACGTTACCTAACAACAAACGAACTAACGTGAAGAACATATCCGAATGCGGCTTGTCGTCTTACCCCGAATCCACTCGAATCGGACGAACCGAGGGTTTTTCAATTTAAAAAATCAGCCGAATGGTCGACAGTTAATCGAGCAAAAACATTCGGCTACATTTGTTTTCCGCCATAAGCCCGGGGGATTTTTTTTAGTGTATTTTTTTTTTTTTTTTTTTTTTTTTTTATTTCGGATACCCCGTGAGTAAATTAGTATAACGGTAAAGAAGTCGCGTATGCGCGCCGGCAAATCGCAATCGGTTTTTGCGGGAGGCAGGCGATATTATTTTATCAGAAGTATCAAGTATATATATATATATAGGCATGCTTACAATATATAATACGAAAATAAAACGCGCGAAATCGCTTTGCGGCGGTTTTTAACACGTGTAAAAAAAAAAAAAAAAAAAAACGCTTGATCCGCGAGTATACACGCAGTTTTGTTATTATTTTCGGTTTTTTTTTTTTTTTAACGTGCGCGTCCCAGATTTAATTTGGCACTACTGTTCGACGGCCGATTGCGCGCGTAAGTGCGTACTCGTACGCGTTATTATAATAATACGCATATGTGTACGTTAATAATGAGAGTATATAGAGGACTGTACCAGATATACTATATGTGTACACATATACATTATTGTATTATGCAAATCATTCGATTCTTTCGCGGTCTCCCCATCGTAATATAATAATATTTTATTGTGCGTATGTACGCGTATATAGTAAGGCGAGGCGAGTGTGAGACGGAGAGGGGAGGTTTCAAAACGATTTTCAAAACAGAGGGGCGACCGCGGGCCGGGAGATCCGGGCAGTCGTATTATAATATATTATAGTGCGCGCATAGAAAAGTCCGAGAGCCGCGACAGTCCGTTATGTTATGAAAACCGCTCGGAGCGAAATAATGTTTTTGTATTGTATTTAAAAAAAATACAACATTTAATGTTTTAGAACGGTCAAGCGGTGTCGGGTCGCCGCCTATGAGGCCGGTAAACCTAACGCCGCTTTACGTGGTCACTCGTTTTCGTTTCGTACGTGAACAGTGAAATTGCGCGATTCGATTTTCCGTATTACGATTGTTGTTTCGTTCGTGTTTGCATGTACGTTTATTTTCTGGGCGACATCAGTGTCGTCACCGAAAACACCGAAAGCGCAGGCCGGTCGTTCGGACGGGCAAAGGCGTTTTCAAAATGTCACTACGGGGACCTTTCACTTTTTTCGACGTTCTTGATGCTCTGAAATTAAAACCGTGTTTCGGAAAACGTTTGTAACGTATTTGGCGGGTGCGATTTTGAATTTTTTTTTTCAACGACCGGATGTTTTTTGATAACAGAGATTACATTTAAATATAATTATAACAGAAAACCACAGGACGCCACGTGTGAATCGGTTATATTTATGAAAGGGGCTAGTCGAAAGAGTAAAACTTTCGGAAGTTAAGCGGTTTCAGTCCGTCGCACTACACATCCCATAGTTAAACTGAACATTTGAATTGTCGTAACTAACGTGTTATTTATACGCTCGAGTAATCGTTTCAAAAACAAACGATCCGCCTACAAGCAATAGGAATTTATCAGGGCCTAAAACCGGTCACCGATTCTCGTTAAAAACCGATAACGGTTTAAAAGTCGGTAGCGGTTACCGGTACCTAACCGGACCAATTATGCAAAGCTCAATCAATAACCGGTTGCTTTATTTTTTTTTTTTTTTTTAACGAAAACCGATTCTCAGTTCAGAAAAATCCGGGATTACTTCCCGTGCCCGCCGTCGAATGCGAAAATAACGATAATAACGCGGATACTGTACACGTCAGTTGAATTGCGACCGTTAATTATTGTATTTTTCAAGTCCGCGATTATAAAACTGCTGTTTTTTTACATACGTTTTCTCTAGATTTCAGTCGCATTACAGTAATCATTCGATCGTGATTACATTACTGAAACGACTGCAAGAACGCCGAACTGATGTTCTAAAAAAAAATAATTACGAATGGTCGCGTGCACGGTTATCGCGCCGTAACCCGGGTAGGTAACCGGTTGGTGCACGGCCGCCAACAGTCCGCGGTATTCCGTCCGTTGTTGTGGAGAGCCGGTTTTTAAGAGAGTATTCGACTTTACTCGTTTACCCGACCGTTTCGTTCACCGTTTGCCCGTTTTAAACGCGTACGACGATATTATTAGGAAATAAGAGTAAAGTCCCGGTGTCGGCACTTGTCGGTTCGTCTTGAAATTTCCTGCGACATTAAATTGGACTCGTACTCGTT